ATAAATTAATCGGCTCAATTATCAGAAGCTTATGAGATTTTCGTCTTTGACGAAAGAGTGTAATGACTTCTTTCTTGGACATTCTTGAAAAATCCTTGATGGATTTAAGATTATATACCATATATATTTAACGAAAAATTGAACAATTTTGCAAGGAATGGAGGGATTTCATTCGACTTCAGTCAAGTCATAGTCTGATCTTTCAAAAAGGCTTAATTTGCCATACCTTGAGCCGGAATCGCTTAAAGTAAGAGGCTGCAGTCTAACTGAATCGCTTTTTAAGAATTGCATGAGAAGTTAGTATTTGTATTAGTAACAGAATGGTTTTCGTGATCGCAATTTTACTGYGGTAGTTTTTGATCTGAATTATTTTTTGTTTTGATCTTAGTTTATTGTTTTTAAAAAGAGGCCATTGGAAACATGCATTCTTATTATAAATATTTATAGCGAGATATATGATCGTGACGGGAATCAATAGTTCTAATAATTCCACCAGTTATATATGATAAGAAAACCTATAATCATGAGTTAAAAGTTAAATAAGCAAGAAATAAAAGTAGTTTTTAAAAGGATAAATAATGGTTGTTTTTTTTTTAACGTGGATATAGGATACCCCTAAGCTGTTTAAAAAGCTAGTCACTAACGAAACTGAACATTAGATATGCTTRACAGAGAGCAGATTATGCTTTCTCTATCTCACTGTCTAGCCCATTAGCCATTATAACCTTCCTCCAAGTTCAGTTATTTTTGTTCCGATAACCGCGATTCCATCCAAAATAGAAGAAAATTCAGATAATCAGATTAAAGTTTAGTTTTTTGATCTTAATCAGCGAGTAGCTTTGGGAAACTTAATCAACGACAGCACAGCGACATTCGTTTTATGTTTCTCTAAGTACGAACACCCAATCTCGCTCTAAAACATCTTGGAAATCTGAGATAAATATCTGAATATATACATTTTTTTCGTTATTTTTTTTCTATCCTTTTCCGACAAATAAAAGCAAATCGCGTTGAAAGCCATTATATGTCGGTGAGAGCAAGTTTTTAACAAGTTTATATTTACGACTTGAAATGTTTTTAAATATTTTATATTTCATTTATTATTTTCTTTAATATATTCTTTTAAAAAAATCAATAAAACCGAGAGAGCTAAAAAAAATTAAGGTTACTTGAGCAACTCATATAAACGGCAACTATTTTTTCTTAAATGTCTTGAAAATTTCGAAAAAGAAACTGATTCGTTCCCTTCACAGGGAGTGATTGCTCAGTCTCACGGCGATATAGAAGATTGTGTCTGGGAAGCTTTCTAGTCGATCAATAGAGAATTTAAAAGTGGAATTCGTTTGCGGAGAGAGGAAAACGTAGAACCAGGGGAAAAAACCCAATGACAGAAGAAAAGCAACAAGAAAGAATGAATTAGGGATGTCAATAAATAAAGTTTGAGTTTAATACGATTTTATGAAATAAAATGGACAGTTTTAGGAAAGCAATTAATTTTTGTAAAGTTAGTAGCTGCCAAACCGTGTTTCATAAGAACGAGAATCGGCAAAAAAAGAGGGTTAGCTCAAACGTGCTAGATGTCGACTAAATCATTTTTCAGCACTAAATGATAGCCATTCCTAAAAATATAATTCCCCAATTTAGCCGCGCCTCAAAAATCAAATGAAATACCTTTTCGATTTTGACTCTCAGGAGAAAAGTTTATAAATTAATAATAAATCATGAAAAAAAATCGAATAAAGGAGGAGGAGAAGGAGAAGAAAGAAGAAAGAATGAATAGAAAAACAAATCGTGCCTCAATAAAAGTGGAATAATTTTCATACCTTTCAGTTGCAATTCTTGTGAAGTAAAGATATTTTGCTATGTACACTCAATTGAAGAGTCGTTGTCGGGTTCAGAAACATAGAACATAAAAGCTGAGACCGAAATGGCACATGGGAAATGACATAATTATATTATATTTTATTCATTTGCGCCATCCATGCAGTCAGTTTAGAATGCCAAACGCGTATTAAAAACAGTGGATGATGCCACTGGTCGCCGGTCACAGCATGCATCTAATTAACG